GAACTTGGGAAGTATTTGATCCTGAGATCTTCATTATTGGCTATGTCTCCCGCTTCGGTTAAATATCTCGCTATGTGTTCGACTGTTGACTCGTTGGTATCCCCAGCGAACTTTGTAAATTTAGGGACTTTGTATCCCCTTGGTAAATCAGTATGCATTATACAATCCAATATAGGAGAAGCGTAATTTGGCCTCCTCATTCCCGTATTGAGGCCATTCTGGGCCATGATCCTCTCTATCATGGTGGTTAGGTTATTTTTTGCCAAGATGTTATCGTTTCGAATCCTATGAACGACGGCATCGACATCTTGATTTCGACCAACCAAAACAACTCCCCTAGGTTGTTCTTCTCGAAATTCTGGGGCTTCTGGCCTTTCGATCCTTGCCCCTGGTTCCATAACTTCCCTTTGTGGGCCTTGAATTACTGGGGCTTCTAACCTTGGTGCTCTGGCCCCTAAGTTAGCTTCTTCTCTGGGTAGTCTATGAATTGGGTCGTTAGCAATTCGTTCTATAACAGGCATGTTTGTTCGAAATCCCGCCTGGTTCTGCCTACGCCTTTCTGTGGGAGCAAAGAAGTCTGCTATTCGACTCATATTGTCAGCGTTTTCCCTGTTCGTCACAGTCACATTCTGAACTATTGGGGCAAATATTTCCTGCATGGTTTGCGCTAACACCCCTATCATATTGTGGTTGTTGTCATCCATCAATTGCCTAAAAGCCAACTGGTTATCTGTGGTTAGGATAGGCAACATGCTATAACCCACTGACCCTTGGTTATTTGTCATAAATTGGTTCGCCCCAGACCCAAATCCTAGTTGTGGGGATGAATTCGAAGTGGAATTGTGTAAACCTGCCATAAAAGATGTTGGCATTCCGTAAGAAGAACTTCTAATTCTATTCCCATCGAAGCCGGGTGGTCTAGTTAATGGTGTGGCTAAATGGGATTGTGTTCCTGGTGGTGGAACGAATCCCCCAGGGTAGCCCATAGTTCCAGTATTTCCTAAGATCGAACTGTTAGTTGATATGCCACTTACTCCAGTGGTGGCTATGTTACTGGTTGAAGATGCAACAGACTGTGCATTCGAAGGGATTACATTAGATGTTCCGCTCGAAATGGACGCGTTAGTGCCTGTTGCATGTGGGTCACCTTGGCTTCCTTGTTGATTGTCTGAATTAGACATTTTGTCCAAACGTTTTCCTCTGGATAAAGGTTGGTTGCTGTTGGTTATCTTACCACTTCTTAGGTTCATAAAACAGCAAATTTCTTAGGTTCCTACGTTTTTTGGGATGGCTACGTCTCGACAATCCTTAATTCTGATATCCAACTATTGGTCCCACCGGGTGTGCCAATTTGTTTCCAGTGATTTCTGGTAAACAACCGCTAGTCTTCCAAACTATCAAATAATCTTTATTAACGCTATTCAATCTCTCTGGTAACTCACAGGATCGACTAGATTGATCCTAGGACTCCTTGGATATTAAAGTTACTCTCACAATCGAACAATTATTCATGGTTGCTATTGTACAAGTGTTTGGTTTATTTCGATCCCTCTCTCTAAGAGTTTAAAATTGTGGTCAAAATGTATATGAAAACTAGGTTATACGAATAAATGCTAATTGTAATGCTGATTGAAGAGACATATAAAACTGTATGAAAAATGAAGTAAATGGTTTCGATTTGCAAAACATTTAACATAAAAGGTTTCTGGAATGTAGAAGTTTAAAATGTGAAGAAAGCGTTTAATGCAATTTTAAGTAAAAGGATGCGTTTGAAAAACAATACTTGGAAGTAAAGGTATTGAAAGCGTAACAGTTCTCTGAAATATAAAGTGCTCGAAATATAAAGAAAGCATTAAAGAGTAAAACTTTGAGGAAAAGACTTTGAAATGAAAAGACAATAAATAAAGAAACTTGCAAATGTTGTTCGACAAAAGAAAAGAGGAAAGTACTGGAAATGGTAAAAAGGCTTTCATTAAGTTAGAAATACATGGTGCTATCATACATACATTTCTCTTGCATTCGTTTCCCTTGCCATGTGGTAGTTTGAATGTTATTGAGTATTTTGTATAACAGATATGACACACTGAAATCCTAATACTAAGACTTCTATTTATACTAATTCTACCCTAACGGTCTCGCTATAGGATCATGCCACGTTTCGAACATGCAAGACAATGCTTCTTTCATCTTTCCACGTGTCCCCAAATGCTCCAACACAAAACTTTCAAACTTTGAAAGTCCCGCTTCTATTTGAATTTTAAATGCTTTAGTGTTCTTCCGTTTCGAACGCTCTTCCCAAACCTAGCCTCGCTGTTGTTTCGAGACCCCTTTGGATATTTTCCATGATCACCGTTCGAAGCTTCAAGCTTTGACACACTCATTCGAAACACTGCTTCTGCAACTTCGAAATATGGTGTTCAATTCCATTTCGATCAGAACTTTTAACTCTTTTGAATTCTAGATAACATTATCAAAATCTTCAGCCAACAGTTGGGTCTAAAACCTGCCTAAATTAGGGCAAAATTTCACCAAGTTATTTAGTTCATGGACCTATATTCACAAATTCATAACTTGAGATCCAAGCATATTTTGGGAAAATTTTGTGAAGAAAAATTGTAGATTTCATGGAAGAATACAACTTTCATGTTGGAAGTTTTCTTTGAGTCAAATTGCATCATGGTGAAAAAGTTGTGGAAAGTTGGGGAAAAATAAGAAAATTTCCATACTTAGAAAAATTCTAAGTTATGAAAATTTTCAAATTCAAAACCCTAATTTTCAAAATTGGTTTTCTTGGTGAACAAGTTTCATATTTTAACATATCTTGATGAATTATGACCCTTGGTACTTGATTTTGACCAAAAAATCAAAGTTTGACTTTTCAGTGTACAGTTGACTTTTGATTTGACTGCAAAATTCATCTGTCAATCCAATGAACTTGAGATCTTTTGAACCATGTAATTAGGTCAATATGATACCATTGAACTCTTGAAATCATGTTTGAACTCAATTGGTCATTGGCTAGGTTAAAAATCAGAAATTGCCCTTTCTCAGTCCAAACCCTAATTTTGACAATTTTGCCCTTTAGATGATTTGATCAAATTTCTTGAGGAGTTGTGATCCAAACTTGATCAAATGGTACATATGAGTCTAAAATGTTGATGTGGATCAAACATTTATGAAGTTTGACTGTAAATTGGTCGTAGTTGACTTTTTCCCCAATACAGCTGATTTTTAGGTCAAATGTTCAATTGACTGATCAAAAATGTGGTTCAAGGCTTGAAACTTAACATGAGCAATCTTAGGGGTTCAAGATGATGTATGAAGGTCACATGAAGCTTTGGTGGTCCAAAAATCCTTGTGCAAACTCAAACCCTAATTTTGGGTTATCAGTGCAAGATGAGAGGTCTTGAGCTGACCAAACCCTAATCTTGTCTTGAGTCCAAGAAGTCTTGTGAGAAAAATCTTGATAAATGAGAGGACAAATTTTGGGGTACAACACTATGTCTCTATGTAGATGATTTGTTGATAACAGATAGCTGGAAAAGTGAGATCAAAGACTTCAAAGGTGATCTCAGCAAGGAATTCGAAATGTCTGATTTGGGTGAGATTTCATATTTTCTTGGCATCGAATTCTACAAGAGCAGTAGGGGTTTGATGATGCATCAAAGAAGATATGCAGGAGAAATTCTCAAGAGGTTTGAGATAGAAGAGTGCGACTCAACTTCGACACTTACAGAATCAAGACTGCAACTGTCGAAAGATGCAGATGAAGATGATGTTGATCCAACTCAATACAGAAGACTTATTGGTTCATTGAGATACCTTTGCCATACAAGGCCTGACTTAGTATATAGTGTAGGTATGGTAAGTAGATTCATGCAGAAGCCAAAGGTATCACATCTAGCAGTAGTGAAGAGGATACTGAGGTATCTCAAAGGAACTCTTGACTATGGTATTTTGTTTCTTGCAGCTGATAAAAGAAAAGAATGCAAGTTAGTGGGATACACTGATTCGAGTTGGTGTAGTGATGCTGAAGATCGAAAATCAACAACAAGATATGTGTTTATGCTAGGTGGTGCACCAGTTGCTTGGAGTTCAAGAAAGGAACCAATAGTAGCATTACCATCATGCGAAGCAAAATACATAGCTTCTTCTCTTTGTGCATGTCAAGCAACTTGGATGGTGAACTTGGTCAAAGAGATAACAGGGAAAGATCATGGAGCAGTTACCATGAAGATCGACAGCATGCCAGCTATCAATCTGGCGAAGAATTCAATAGCACATGCTCGAAGTAAGCACATCAAAATGAGGTTCCATTATCTTCGAGAGCAGGTAGCAGATGGGAAGATGAATTTGAAACACTGCAGAACTGAGAATCAGATTGCAGACATCATGACAAAGGGAGTACAAGTCGAAGTATTCAGAAAATTAAGAACCATGATGAATATAGATAGTTTAGACACAATGAATTAGGTGGTGTGTTAAATTATAATTTGATTGTGTCGAAAGAGATTAGATTTGTTTTAGATTTAAATAAGATTTGATTTAGATTTAAAACATAATAGATTTTATTTTATTTTGGACTTTTATAGTTTTGCGCTTAGGGTGCAAGCTAAATCTATAAATAGAGGGAGTAACCTCTATTTTGTAATCAAGTCATTCACAGTACTTTGCAGTTGCAAAGGGAATAACAAAGCTTTTCAAAGAGAAACTCTGCAAAAAATAATTATCTTCTTTCTTTTCTTGTTTTTCTCATAATTCATTGTCATTGAAATAGAAATTCAATATAGATATTTGGTAGATTTCCAACAATTGCAAGTTCTCTTCAAATTAACACGTTGTATTTTATCGTCTTAACAACCTTATGTTTAAAAAAATATTTTGAACATTTTATTCACATTTTAAATGATATTTTTTTTAAAGAATTTTAGAAATGTCTTGTGATTAGGTATAAAGATGTTAAGAAAAGAATTTTAATTTTTAGTCACATTTCAAACTCCTTAGGTCTCTTGTATTACAATTGGAACTGTACAAAGGGTTATATTTGCATGATACATTTCAAATCCCAACAAATCCAGTATCATATAAATCTCCTCTTTTTCAGGATGTGATTTGTCGCTAGCAATAAATACATGAAGTTCTTGTCCAACTTCAATCCAGCTACATCCAGGAATCTTTTTTAGGCCTTTTTCTTTCATGAAACCCCTTATGTTTGATACTTTTTCCCATTTTCCTAGAGTTGCATACACATTCGAAAGAGCTACATAATTCCCAGGATTATTTGGCTCTAGTTTCAATAACCATTTTGCTATATAATCTGCAAGTTCAGTCTCATGGTTCTGTCCACATGCGGCAAGCAGAGATCCTAATATGTGTGCATCTGGAGGACTAGGCATTTTCAAGACAATCCTAAGAGCTTCATCTAACTGGCCATCGTTAGCAAGGAGCTTCACTAGGCAACCATAGTGTTCCTCACTCGGCTTCATTTGGAGTTCACACACCATATATTTGAAAAGCTCTAGGCCTTCCTTCAGCAATCTCCCATGGCTACATGCTGACAAGACACTAGTAAAAGTTATGTGATCCGGCACTATACCTTCATTCACCATTTCTTTAAAAAGTGCAAGGGCTTCTGCAGATTTACCATGTGAGGCATAAGCAGATATCATTGCATTGTAAACAGGCAATTCCTTTGTTGAACATATAATGAAAACACACTTTGCGTGATTCAATTTTCCACATTTAGCATAAATGTCAATAATAGAGGTTGTAATTTGAAGAGTAAAAGACATGAAATTCTTCATAACATACCCATGAATTGCCCTTCCATAGTTCAATAATGCCATATCCGGGCATGCTGATAATGCGGCAGTTATGCTTATGCTATTAGGTCTCATCCCTGCATCTTGCATTTGCCGGAAAACCTTATTAGCTTCGTAACAGAAACCATTTTGAGCCAAGCCAGATATCATAGTAGTCCATGTGATCAAATTTGGCGTTACACCCGATGATTGCATTTCATAAAACATGTCTTGAGCCTCAACAACCTGACCATTTCTAAAGAAACTGAATATCAAAGAGTTCCACGAAACAACATTCGGAGGAACACTCTCCAGTTGCATTTGAAAAAACAATTTCATAGCCTCACCACTCAACCCCTTCTCCGCACAAGCTGCCAACATTGTATTCCACAACACAAGATCTTTCTTCGCCGCAAAACAAAAAACTCTTCTCGCACAATCCATTCTCCCGCATTTCCCATACATATCTACGATGCCACTCAACACAACCACATCAGAGTCAAACTCATTTCTAATGCAAAACCCATGTAACTTCTTACCAAGTTCTACTTCTCTCGTATCCGCAGCAACAGACAACAAAGAAGACAGTGTGACACAATCAAACCTCAAGTTTTCCTCCTCCGTCATCCAACCACACATCTCAAGCGCCTTCTCAAACATTCCAAACTGCACATAACTATATATCATCAAATTCCAAGTCACCTCATCTTTCAAAACCGTAATATTTCTAAAAACTAACTCAAGCTCTTTAATCAAACCAACCTTGGAATAAAAATTCATAATAGAGCTACCTAAAATGTTACCCAACTCAAATCCCATTATAACAGCAATAGCATGCCCTTGTTTACCTTCCTCAACAGCCTCCAAATTAGCACACGCTGAAAAAAAACCCGACAATGTAACCTCAGTAAGTTCATCACCCTGAAACCTCATCTTCTTAAAGAGCCTGACAGCCTCCATATTCATTCCGTTTTGAGCAAAAACCCCAATCATGGAGTTCCAAGCAATAACATTCTTCTGAGGCATATCATCAAACACCTTCTCCGCATCCTCCAAAAACCCACATTTCCCATACATATCAACAAGACTCGTCGCAACATAAACACAACCATCGAAATCCTTATTCATTTTAACTACATACCCATGAATCCCCTTCCCGAACCCACCCCACCGGAGTGCCCCACAGGCCTTCAAACCATTCGGCACAACGAAATTATCCGGGAGAAACCCTTTCTCCATCATTTCCACATAACTCAACAACGCTTCTCGGGAGAGTCCAATTCGGGCCTGCAGGCCTATAATGGCGGCCCAAGAGAAGAGATTCTGGTTTCTAACAACGTTACGAAAGAGATGAACCGCGATATCCGAAAGGCCGCATTTTGCGTAGAGGATGACAAGCTTGGATTCGATGAACTCGTTTGTGGAAAAGGAAGGACCTTTTTTGATGATGTGAGCGTGGATTTGAAGACCTAAACTGAGGGCTCTTGCGTAGACACATCCTTGGAGGAGTTCACCGTAAATGTCAGGTCCTATGTGGAAGTGTTGTTGGAATTGGGAAAGTGAATCGACGGCTTCTTGGATTCGAACATGTTTGCAGAGGAATGAGATGCGGTTATGGATTGAAGTGTTGTTTGTGAAGTGTTGTTGATTTGGAGGGGATTGTGGTAGTTTTGAATGGGTAAGAAGTTGCGGGATCGTGGTGGTGGTGGTGGTGGTGGTGGGTGTGACGGAAAGACATGCTAAGCCATGCATGGAGTCAACGGACAAAATGAATGGTTTTGGTAAGTTGAGGATGGAGTTGTTTCTCAATAGAAAGCGAAGAGACTCGGGATAAGGGGGGAACGGATTGGCTATCGTTAACGTGGGACAGGCACCGTGCCTTTCGGTCATTCTTTCCCATTTGATCAATCAAATGTTTTAGAAAGTGCCACATAGTAGTCTATTTTTCTTCCTCTCCACCCAATCCAAACTATAAAGTCAGCCAAATAAGATACATATTTTAAGATTTATTTTTTATTATATTTATTTTGAAATTTGAATTCATTTGATTGTTGAAGTGTTAATCAAGAAAGAATATCGACTTGAATTTTCAACACCCAACCGTCCATAACATGTAAACGGACTAACATAGACATAAATTCAAAAATTTAAATAATCGGACTAACAACATGTAAAACGAACTCAAATTCTCATGTGACTTTTTGCAACCCTGAACGAACATCGACTCAAATTTTTAACATTGGATCGTCCATAACATGTGCAACAGACTAACAAACATAAAAATTCAAAATTTTAAACAATTTGGCTCACGAAGGTCCACCGTCACCTTCCTAGACCATAATTCACAAGTGTCACACTAGAAACAATACTTCTCAACTGACTATTTCCAACCCTGAACGAACATCGACTCAAATATTTAACACCAGACCATCCACAACAAGTTAAATAGATTAACAAACATAGATATTCAAAAATTTAAACGAGTGGACTCCAAGAGGTCCACTATCACCTTCGAAGATCACAATTCATAAATGTCAAACTAAAAAGGGTCATTCTCAACCGGCTATTTCCAACACTAGAAAATACTTACTCAAATTTTCAACATCAGATTGTCCATAACAAATAAAACAGACTAACAAACATGAAAACTCAAAAGCTTAAACAATCGGATTCTCAAAGGTTCTTCATCACATTTCTATATCATAATTCACAAGTCTCACACTAAAAATAGTCATTCTCAACTGACTCTTTCCAACCCTGGATTAATATCGACTAGAATTTTCAACATCAGATCATCCACAACGTGTAAAATGAACTAACAAACATAAAAATTTAAAAATTTAAACAATCGGATTCTCTGAGGTCCACCATCACCTCTTATACCGCAATTCACAACTAGAAAGCTTTTCCATCGTTTCAAATCACTCAGAAAACGAGCTTTGATCTCACTTTCTTTCTCTCGTTATTTTCTCTAAATCTCTCATTTTCTCACTTATATTTAGCCACAATGATTCGAGAGTATACTCAATAGATTATTAACTCTTGATAAATTACAATTAAGCCCTCACTGAATATATATATATATATATATATATATATATATATATATATATATATATATATATATATATATATATATATATATATATATATATATATATATATATATATATATATATATATATATATATATATATATAATTTAAAATTTTAAACAATCGGATTCTCTGAGGTCCACCATCACCTCTTATACCGCAATTCACAACTAGAAAGCTTTTCCATCGTTTCAAATCACTCAGAAAACGAGCTTTGATCTCACTTTCTTTCTCTCGTTATTTTCTCTAAATCTCTCATTTTCTCACTTATATTTAGCCACAATGATTCGAGAGTATACTCAATAGATTATTAACTCTTGATATATTACAATTAAGCCCTCACTTTATATATATATATATATATATATATATATATATATATATATATATATATATATATATATATATATATATATATATATATATATATATATATATATATATATATATATATATATATATATATATATACACACACACACACACACACACACACACACACACACAAATATCAACACTCCTCTCAAGCTGGAGCATATAAGTCAAATGCACCAAGCTTGCCACATATATAATTAGTTCTGGAATTTCGCAAATATTTTGTAAACACATTTACCAATTGATCAATAGAGTTGACAAAGCTTGTGAAGACGTCGCCATATTCAATCTTCTCTCTGACAAAGTGACAGTTTATCTCAATATGTTTGGTCCTCTCATGGAAGACTGGACTTCAACCTCTTAGTGAAGGATGGGGTTGCTATGTCTCTGTTTCCGCAGATGGTTATTCCACAAACGTCGTCTTTGTGGCTGTGAAGTTCATAGCGTAACTGATACTCTTTTAAATCAATGTACGGATGTTTGTTTGTTTGTTTGGAGATTCTATGGTTCCAAAGAAAGGAGGTATAACAGTGGAAGAGTGAAGAGGGTTTGAAATTTGGGATTAAATTAGGGTTTTTGTTAATAGGGCTTGGTTGTGGTGATTGAGATGAGGTGATGTCGGGTGGTTGCAAGGGTGGCGACGACACTGAAGGTTGATCGGAAAGCATCACCGAGTGTGGCTTCAATGATGATTGTGTTGAATTAAAAGAGACTAAGAGATATTTAGATTAAATTGTGTATTTTGAAAATCACTACGGAGACTTTATTATATATAGAGAGATTACAACTAATGTTATGATATAGCCGATGTGAGACTATTCTACATATAAATATTCTTAACATATTATATATATATACACACACACACACACATAAATATAAACACTCCCCCTCAAGTTGGAGCGTATAAGTCAAATGCACCAAGCTTGCCACATAATTAATTAGTTCTGAGACTTCGCAGAGATTTTGTAAGCACATCTGTCAATTGATCATTAGAGTTGACAAAGCTTGTGACGATGTCGCCATATTCAATCTTCTCTCTGACAAAGGGACAGTTTATCTCAATATGTTTGGTTCTCTCATGGAAGACTCAATTTGAAGCAATGTGCAATGCAACTTGATTATCACATACAAGTGTCATTGGTCTTGCTTCTTCAATTTGAAGTTCTTTGAGCAATTGTTTTAACCAAATAAGTTCACATGTTGCCATTGCCATGGCCCTATACTCTGCCTCGACGCTTGATCTTGCAACCACATTTTGTTTCTTACTTTTCCAGGATATAAGGTTTCCTCCAATAAGTACACAATACTCTAAGGTGGATCATCTATCAATTGGTGATCCTTCCCAATCAGCATTGGAGTATCCAACTATCTGAATATGTCATTTATCTTCATACACTAAACCTTTTCCTGGAGTACATTTGATGTATCTCATAATCCGGATAACAACATCCATGTGTTCCTAACAAGGGAAATTTAAGAACTGGCTTACCACACTGACTGCAGAAGAAATGTTTGGATGAGTAATTGAGATAATTTAATTTTCCAACCAATCTCCTATACCTTCCCGGGTCTGATAGAGGCTCCCCCTGATTGCGTAGTAGTTTGACACTTGGATCCATAGGAGTATCAGCTGGTTTAGCGTTCAACAAACATGTTTCTTCCAAAATATCCATAGCATATTTCTTATGAGAAATCACCAAACCATCTTTAGGTTGGGCCACCTTAATACCCAAGAAATACCAGAGTTTATCAAGATCTTTTGTCTGAAATTGATTCGAGAGATGTTGTTTCAACTGGAATATTCCATCCTCGTCACTATCAGTTATGACAATATCATCTACATACACAATAAGATAAATACATCATTGGTTTGAGTGACGATAAAAGACAAAATGATCAACTTCACTACGGACCATACCAAATTGTTGTACAATAGTGCTGAATCTGCCAAACCAAGCTCTCGGAGATTGCTTAAGACCATAAATAAATTTGTGTAGCCTACGAACCATATTCGATGACTCCCCCTGAGCAACAAACCCAGGTGGTTGCTCCATATATACTTCCTCTTCAAGATCACCGTGTAAAAATGCATTTTCGATGTCAAGCAGATGAAGAGGCCAATGTCGAATAGCTGCAATGGCTAGAAGAAGTCTAACAGATGCCATCTTGGCTACAGGCGAGAAGGTATCACTATAATCCAACCTAAAAATCTTAGTGTATCCTTTGGCTACTAATAAATCTTTAAATCAATCAATCTTACCATCTGAACCAATTTTCGTTGTGTAAAGGCAACAACAACCTACTAAAGCTTTCCTAGGGGTAGAGGAACCACTACTTTGAAGAGCACACATTTCATCAATTATTACTTGCCTTCACTAAGGGTGAGATAATGCTTCACTTGGAGTTTTAGGAATAGAAACATAAGACAAACAAATATACTGCAAAGGGAAAGACAATGATAGCATAAATCAATATAATATGGAGAAGGATTTTGTATTTGACGTATACCTTTTCGAAGGGAAATCGGAAGATCAGACTCAGGTTGCAGGATCAGATCCAGTGATTATGAGAGCATCAGAGGGGAGTCTGCAATGACCTCGAGGAGATGTTCGACCTCAAGAATAGGTACGACCTCAGGGACAGGAACGACAAACGTTGGTTGAGGATATTGATATGTTTGAAGTGGATGAGAAGTCGGTGGGTCAACCGTAGGGTTATCTAGTGGTCCAGGTTCCCTAGAATGATGGGGGATAATGACATATGCGACTTCTGAAAAAGGTGTGGGAGTACTCTCCTAAGGGGGCTCCGAAGTTACTTGGATGAACTCAAAATATGGATCAGACTCGAAGAACGTGACATTGGCTGACATAAGGTATCGTTGTAGGGTATGTGAATAGAAACAATAACCTTTTTGGGATCGAAGATAACCAAGAAAAACACACTTTAGTGATCGAGTTGATAGTTTATCAAGACCAGGAGAGAGATTGTGTATAAAACATGTAGACCCGAAGACTCGAGGAGGAATTGGGTGAAGGGGGGAATAAGAAAAAAGGATTGAATGAGGGATTTTATTGTTAAGGACAAATGATGGCATGCGATTTATAAGGTAACATGCGTTAGCACAACGTCTCCCTAAAACTGAAGTGGAACATTACCATGGAGAACTAGGGCCTGAGTGATTTCCACAAGATGTCGATTTTTGCGTTCGACTCCCCCGTTTTGTTAAGGTGTATGATGGCAAGATCTTTGGTGGAGAATACCGTTACTGGACATAAAATTTTGAAATTGTTGAGATAAATATTCACGAGCATCATCATTTCTTAAGGTACGAATAGACACACCAAACTGAGTTTTTATTTTTTTATAAAAAATTTCAAAAATAGAAAAGAATTCTTATCTATTTTTCATTAAAAATAACCACGTGCACCGTGAAAAATCATCAATAAAGGTGATAAAATACCTAGACTCAAAGTAGAGATAGTACATGAGGGACCCTAAACATCGGAGTGAACTAAAGCAAAAGGGGACAAAGCTCGTTTATTGACTCGATTGGGAAATTACCTATGAGTGTGTTTTCTAACTAACACGACTCACAATATAAATTAGATACTTTCGATAAACTTGACACCAACTTCTATAATTTAGGAAGACTAGGATGACCTAACTGAGCATGGATTGTGAGTGAGAATCTTTGGATGAGTATGTCTGAGATGACACTGAGAGGTAATAAAGGCCTTGAGACTCATATCTAACGCCAATTGTCCATCCTAAACCCCGATCCTGCAGTGTAACGTTACTATTAGTGAGGGTGACAATACAATCAAGAGAACGAGTTAAACAACTGATTGTAAGTAAATTAAATGGATAATTAGGTACGTAGAGTATAAAAGTAACAGAGAGAGAATGTAGAATTTGAACAGTATCAATTCCTTCGGATCAGGTTTGAGAATCGTTGAAAGAAGTTATAGTACGTAAGAAACCAGAGGTAGAGAGGGAAGAGAAAAGACTTTTATTATCAATAACATGATGAGACGCACCAGAATCAAGGACTCAAGGTCCAAGAGAAGATGATTGAGAGAAGCAAACAGATGAATTACCAGTGTGTGCAACCGAAACAGTAAAATTTTAGTCTGATTATTTCTGATACCACTTGAGGAAATCATCGTAGTTTGGCGTAAAGTTCTGAGGAGTAGCCATGAGTATCGGATTTGGAAATATTGCACTGGTGGCGAGTGCGGCGGTGGAAAAATCGTCGGGATTGACCGGATCGAAGGAGGTGTTTTTGCCGGTACGGTTAGTTTATCGGAAGGTCGCCGAAATTAGTAGCGGCAGATGGCGGAAGCAGTCCGGTGGTTACTAGAGAATTT